CGTCTCGGACACATCGCGCCCCCCGAGGCTTGGTCCCATATCTCGGACTCACAACTCTCGGTTTGTAGACGTGGTGCCAACAGACACAGCAATATTGTCGGCTTTAGCGGGTTGACTGAAACAGCGTGTTGGATAAAAATCCTAGAAAGCCGGCGATGCCCATCGACTACACACGATGAGTGCCAACCGATTGGGTTTAAGGATCAAACAAGAAAATATCAAAATGCGAATATACATTTGGAGTCGTCGACTTTCGCCTCATGCGCAGGTTCGTGTCTGAGGAACTTGCGGGACTGACTGTTTGTATGTATGCCTGCATGCATGTATGCGGGTGGGTGTGAGTGTGTTTGGCGCAGCTATCTGACGCCTAAACACAGTCTTGTTAGGCCTCTTTCCAAGGCTGAGCCACGAGATAACGCAGCTTTGCTGCAGCCTGTACGACTGAATTGCAGCGGACCTTGCTCATTCTGCAGCTGCTCCCCCATAAGCCTTAGCCAAAACAGCAATGCGATGTTTGCAGAAGAGGAAAACTTGAAGACATAACAGCGTGTTAGAGCGGGAAGTTGTGTTTGGGCCTCAGCTTCCGTTAGTGGCCGTTTCAGCGATGTTGTCATTTTTAAACTGCATCACTTTGACACTAGATCCGTTGTGTCTTCTGTTCGTGTGAAAAGTTGGCCGGATTGTACTCGTGGGCATAAATAGAGAAATCGCCATAGAAAATCACCGGTCGTCGGTGAACCTTGCCATGATTCGGCTTAAGTGATGCTGGATTTTCGTGCATCTTGCGCACGTTTTGCTAACGTCTATCCGACAATGTGCCCAATTCTGTAGCATTGCTGGCCCCTGATGACCATATCGTTTTGCGCCAGACCGACTCTCTTTATCCAATATGTTTGCTCGTTGTCTGGTCTCCTAGTCTAGACAAAAGGTTACAGTCGTATGATTGCGTAATCGAATAGTTTTATTCGTCCGATAACATATCAAACAGATAGATTATGTTTTCTGTAATACTCTGAGTAGGCTTCAAGATGGTACTAGATTCCAATCTCATTTGTTTTCTAGTCCAATTCGGACTGTAGTTTCGACCTCGTCCGTGTCTCTTCAACACAGACAAATTCGATTTTGCTTTTGTGGATCTTTTGCGTTGTTATGGCAACCCCAATGAACATGGATTGTCCTTATTCTTCTACCATAAGAGTCATGCTGATCTCCAGTGTCGGACCTTGCACAATTCAACGTTCTCCAATCATTCATTAGTTTAACATGAGACCAATTCAATAATAAGATTTACCGAACATTTTATTCCAAATATAAAGTCGAAACACATTAGA